TAATAATACACGAAGAGACCGAATTACAGTCCTTGTTTAACATAACTAAGCTGACTTTACTACATTTTACTAGTGGTTTTATTTCATTCTATTTCAGTATTGTGTTTTTCTTTGCTATTTAGTATTGTAAACACGTTTTTAAAATATTTAAACAGCTTTATGGATAAGTTAATTCTCTGCTCAGCCCTCTACTTTGGTTTCTGATCCCATCAGAAACACTTGGATTACTGACCCTTCTTATGGCCAGAATCGCGACTCGGATCTCGGCTCCTGGAGGGCTGCCAAGCATGGGCAGTATCACCGCCCTCATCGCTGCAATCACTATTCCCGGCCCCTATCATCGCCATAGTGACACGTCCTGCCTTCTGCGGCCATCTCTCTTTCGCTGGCTTTTTTGCGCGCTTTTGCCTGCTCCACTCCAGAACATCTGGACAGTTAGGTGTCTCCAACGGCTCTCAAGCGCCTCTGTCAGCTAATTCAGGTAAGTAATTTTACTTTACCTATCCTAAATCGTAGTCACAGCATTTAAAATGGTTTTATTCTGTTTTATTACAGATTACACTTTTCTAAAAACAAAATCCTTGCATAAGAGGGTGACCCCCTCTATTCTAAATTCCTATTTGCCTCATTACAGAGCTTGACCCCTCATTGTCTTCTAAGGGTGACCCCCTCATTGCCTCTTTACAGGATAAATCCCTATTTATGAACACAGGCTACCCTTGTTATTAACTCTGGTCAGTTATACTGTTCCTTTGCATTTGGTGAACTGTGGGTGACCTCCATGTTAAATAAGTGGCTGAACCCACTTTCTATATACACGCTTTGCGTTAATTTACTCAAATCCACTGCCTATTAATATTATTATTGTTTCGTTCATATTAGTTTTAAAAATAATAAATAATTTTTTTTTAAACTCTGATCTTAAAAATTATTGTGGTTACCCCACTGTTTTTCTGTCAATTATGTCTAAATTTACCTGAACTATTAGTCTCTGCGGAGCTTAAAGCTTGGCTGTATAGCGCCATTGCAGATTCAATTCCCAAAGCTTTAGCAGTTTTCCACGAACAGACAATGTCCGCCCCTAGGGCTCCTATTGTTCAGCTGTCAGACTTTGAGGATTCCAAAGGCTCAGACCATGACGAAATCCCCCGCAAACGCCATTGGAAAGGTGATAGTGCTACCGCTGGTAAAGGCAAAGTACCGGCAAAAACACAGAGGTTGTCCCATTCATAAACTAGGTAAGCTAATCTCAAATATAACTTTGACCCATTAGAGGGTTCAACTTCTAATTTTCACCTTCAGGTAGTAGACAAATACTGTGCAGGGTATTCAGATGAGGATTTCCCCTTTCATGAACTCCAGAATGAATCCCTTTCAGACTCTAACCCCATTTCTGATGATATTTTATTGGATATCTCTGGCCGCCACCTTTTCGACCCTAGGTACATCAAACACCCCCCAATCTGCCGAGTGGACCCCTCCAGACCACATTGCTAAGTTCTGCAGGATCTGGCTCTGTAAACCTTTGGAGAAGGAAGTAAGAGCAAAATTAAGGGAAGAATGTCCAGGACCTATTATCCCAGACAAGGTGTCTATTATCCCAGAATTTGATCCCTTGCTCGTCACCTTCCTATACAAAATAGGAAAAGATCCCAGCAAGGGTTTAGAACAAGGATAAAATTATGGATATTGTGGGCCCGCTTATCCAGATATTCATTTTTGCAGATGAGGCTTTGGCAGGTTGCACTTTGGATTCACATATGGTGCGAGAATGGGCACAGAGGGCACTATGCCTACTAAGCAACGCCAAACATGACTTTGGTTCTTCTCCAGAATCTGGGTTTCATAATCAACCTTCAAAAATCATCTCTAACCCCGTATCAGATAGTACAGTTTCTAGGATTTCAGATAGATTATGTTCAGGCAGTTCTACAACTCCCTGATACAAAATTCAAAACCATCAAAAACTACATCCGGAGATTGTCAGTCTCCCTATATCTACGGCTAAGGTATTTAGCTCGCATAATCGGATTACTCTCCACCTCAATCCAGGCAATATTCCCATCTCCACTACATTATTGAGCAATGCAACGTTTGAAGACAGGTTACTTACATTGCTCAACATCTTACGATCGACATATTTTTCTCACAGATGAAGTCCGACTGGAACTCAATTGGTGGCTTCAATATATGGAAGCCTGGAACTGAAGGGCTATCTTTGGTCTGCCACCTGATTTCAATCTGGAATCGGATGCCAGACTCCTAGGATGGGGTGCCACCTGCTCGGAACGGTCTACTGGAGGCCTCTGGTCTTCATCAGAACAAGAACTACACATCAACTGCCTTGAACTAATTGCTGGTCCCTTCGTGATCCGCAGCTTTGCCAAGGAGGCCTACAATTGCTGCCTTATCCTGAGAATGGACAATGTGTCAACAGTACAGTATGTGAACCATGATCAAAGATGCTATTGGATCTGACGAAGCAACTGTACAGATTCTGCCTGGACAGTAACATTTCCCTTCATGCAGAATATCTACTAGGCTCCGACAACCTCGTCGCAGATTGGTTTTCCTGTCATTGGAGGGACTCCAGCGATTGGCAACTGGACCCACAAATATTTCACAGTCTCCAGCTCCTGAGAGGACCATTCACCCTGGACCGGTTTGCGTCTCGCCTGAATTGTCAGACAGACACATTTTTCAGCTGGCCTGGCAGTGGATGCTTTCCTCCAATCGTGGCCAATGTCCGGAGCATATGCCTTCCCCCCTTTCTCCATGATCCCATGCACGATACAATATCTGACCCCGCTGTGGCGAGTCCAACCATAGTTCCCCTATCTCCTGGAAATGACGGGGGACTATCCCCTACTTCTACCCACCTCCTACGATCTCCTCAAGAATCCATCAGGCAACTTCCATCCACTAGCACTGCAAGGCCACCTCCGATTGGTGGCCTGGACCATTTCAGGGGATCCTTGAACGTCTCTGGCCTTTTGGCTACTGCTCGAGGACTCCTATGGGATTCATGGGCCCCAGGAATAAGACAGTCTTACCTCTTGGCATGGCGACGTTGGAGTGGCTGGTGTTTGGAGAGGGACATCGATCCCTTTTCAGCTTCTTTAATAAACATCATGAACTTTCAGTCGTTTCTTTTCAAGCAACGTAAATTCTATCAGTCAATTAATGTTCTTCATTCCGCTATTTCTACAGCCCATAACCCTGTTGACAACTCCTCAGTTGGCAAACATCCTTTGATATGTAGACTCTTGCGGGGCATCCGCCTCGCAAGACCTCCGGTTCCCAAATATAATCAGTTTTGGGATGTTGCTATTGTGCTATCCTTTTTAGAGGCTTGGCCTTCTAATGAAGCACTCTCTCTCCGACAAATGTCAGCCAAATTGGCACTACTTCTCTATTTGGTATCCTTCGGACATCAGAGCATTTGACGTTCATGCCGTTGACTTTACTCCCAAGGGAGTAAACTTCTCCATTATCCGACGCACTAAAACCAATTCGTCTACAGTGAGCTATCCTTATTTCCAGGTTAAACCCACGCTATGTGTAGCTCATTGTGTCCAACATTACATCTTTCGCACTACTTCCCTTAGAAAACAAACGGGCCCCTACTGGTGTCTTATGTGCGTCCTCACAAGCCAGTGTCATGTCCCACGATTGCTCATTGGATCAAGTGGCTCCTGGTCCTAGCCGGCATTGACTCATCTTTTGGTACTCATTCTGTTAGAGGCGCGGCCGCCTCTTTTGCATTTACGGCTAGGGGTTCTCTTGTGAAAATTTTTGCCTCCGCAGATTGGTCCAGGGAATCTACCTTCCGCACCTTTTATTTTAGACAGTCACCTCATGTGTCTATTTCCACTTTCTCCTCGCTTTAAAACAGCAAATATAAGGCTTCCTGTCTTGCCAAATTTGGGATTATTCTAACCTTAGTGATCGAATAATCTAAATTTTATTAAAGACGGGAGGCGAATATTTTCCCACCCACGGAATACTCTCCCCACCCTGCTAGGTAGGTATTTCACAACACCTCAATATTTTGTTACCAATTAATTTTCGTAATCTTCTAGGGTTTTCAGTATATTCTTTACAGAATGCATTTATAGTTGTTCTCAATCTTTAGTTCATAGCCTTAAGATTTGTCAGATTACTTGAAACACATTGCTTTTAAATACATGGACCTAATGTTAGTTGAGAGGTTTTGATTCTCTTACCCAAGAGACCAGTGTGAAGACTCTTCATTACCTTCGCAAGGAATTATCTTCACTTATTAACACCGGTTTACATGGTTGACTACATTAGGATCTACTCATCAATCTACTGTTTTCGTTTGCATGGTTGAATCTATGACTGTCGGCCATATCAAGAAAGAGGAGTTGGGAGGAGCCTGATGACTAGACATACTCTGTTATACATTCTGATTGGTTAACTGTTTCTTTGCTGCTGGAAGTTTAAGTAAAAAAAGATAAGCAAATATTCGCCTCCAGTCTTTAATAAAATTTAGATTATTCGGTCACTAAGGTTAGAATAATCCAGAATTTTTCTAGAACACTGAGATGGCATTATTTTAGTGTAGTTCTTAACCCCCAACCTTAAATTGTCACCATTATAGGTCTTTTTTTATTTTTTTATTTTATTTATGCCCGATTTTAATGACGTAGTTTGCATACATGGTATGACATGATTAGCTTTCTGGATTAAAATGAACATTTTCCTATAAATGGCATATTTCAAGAGAAAGAAATAAGTTGGGAATATCGAAAGCATCGTCAGTACAATGTAAGGCAATTGGTGGGCTGAAATATATATATAGTCTTTAACACATAATATTCCGCGATGGTTCAAAACAGAAGGTATAAACTGGAGGACAGACTATGACCTGCAGCACTGATGGAGAGGGTAAAAAAAAAAAAAAAAAAGAAAAATATGAACCAGTTTCCACTAAAAGGGCAATAAAGTAGCAGGCTTTTGGAGTGATGAAACAAGATCTAGCTGACAGATTTGTATTTGATCCAAAGGTTCGCTCCTTGAACATCAAAGGTTGGTTCATGTCTATAAATGTGGTATCTGAGCTCCTCCAATGGTGGTTCTGGATCGGTTGTTGCAAACTGTGCTGCTTCTTCAATTTTCTTCTGTACTTTAACATCAATCTCCTTTAATTCTTCCACATTATGTAGCTTGTTATTTAACATTCTGTCCTTAAGGACGGTGATCGGATCACTTTTACTTCTTGCTTCCTGAATCTCTTCTCGTGTGCGGTAGCTAACTCCTGGATCACTCATACTGTGCCCATGATATCAGTAAGTCTGAAGTTCCATTGAAATAGGACCCTTTCTAGATCTACAATGATCAGCTGCAAACTTTGTTGCTTCTCTGACACATAGACCATCCATGCCATCAACCCGCAGCACTGGGATGTAGTCTCCATGTTTAAAATAGTCTGTGCTAGCTGCGGCCCTCTCCAAGGATGTACCCATAACATATCGGTGATTTTCACAGATAAAGATACAGGGCAGCTTCCACAGAGCAGCCATATTGTAAGTTTAAAAAATCTGACCCTGATTAGCAGCACCATCACCATTTAGAGCCAAACAAATCTCATCTTACTTGCAGGCTAAGGCAATGCCTGCTCCAAGGGGTACCTGAGCTCCTACAATACCATTTCCATCATAGAAGTTCTTCGCATACATATGCATTGATCCTTTGCCTTTTGCACAGCCACCTTTTTTACCTGTGAGTTCAGCTAGCATTATATGTCTTTTATACTACATGATTATTTAGGGTTAATTAATTTGTGTAAGGATTCTAGGGTTTGATCTGGTGTATCATTTCAGATGCCAGGTTGTGTTTTTATGTGTTTATGTTCAGTATCTGGATGTCATCTATAAAAGAAATTTTAAAAAAATAACAATTTTGTGCATATAGCTACAGTATGTTTCAGAAATATCTTGGAAAACACGGATGACCTTAAAGGCCTTGCCCAAAATATCCACTAACTGCAAGCACAAAAATATCCTACAAATTAAAAAAAACAACAAAAAAAAAGAGGAAAAAAAAGCAATAAAAAAAGACCAAGAGAATCACGAAGCTTCGGCTCTGTGCCCACACATCTGCTGAAGGGCACATTGCCCAAAATACGATGTTTTTCTGTTTCTTGGGTCTCCTGGAAGTATTTAACCACTTGTGCATTGAGATGCTTACAACTTATTGTTTACCCCGTGCATCAGGCCACACCAATGTGTGCTGAGTGAGAACGAGGTGACATTAAAAGTATGCCATTTAGACTGTGGCTTTAACTTAAAAGAAAACTGCATGTCTGCCAAATATGGTAATGGTGAATTATTAAAACCACAAGAATATATGGGAGCAAAGTCTTCTCAGAAAGCGTTTATAACAAAAAAAAGAGGTTGTAGGCCATTTTGCAAGTCTGAAAAGAATTTATCAGCACATCACGAGGGTTTTACGAGTTGGTTTAAAAAAAAAAAAAAAAAGACCAAAAAGGTCCATATTCTAAAAGTGAATAGCATGACATGTAAGACTAATTACAGCTAAGGTTACAGGAATACAATGTAATTTTTTTTAAATAGTTTGTTTTGTAATCATTTCCTTTTAAAACAGAAAACTGTTTTTCTAAGATTAGGTTATGCCTACTCCAGGTTTCTTCTTCTCAATGACCAAGAATCCTGCTGTATGAAGTCATTACACTAAATGTTACATAGTTACATAGCTGAAAATAGACTTGCGTCCATCAAGTTCAGCCTTACTCACATTTGTTTTTTGCTGTTGACCCAAAAGAAGGCAAAAAAAACCCAGTTTGAATCACTTCCAATTTTGTTCCAAGCTAGGAAAAAAAATCCTTCTTGAGCCCAGAATGGCAGTGAGATTTATCCTTGGTTCCAGCTGTTTTTACCCTACATTGAAAGATTATATCCTTGAATATTCTGTTTTTGCAAGTATGCATCTGTATGGACTCTGTTAAAACCACTTCTTCAGGCACAGAATCCCACATCCTTTTTGTTCTTACAGTAAAAAAACCTTTCCATTGCCTTAGACGAAATCTTCTTTCTTCCAGTCTAAACGCATGACCTTGTGTCCTATGTAAAGTCCGGTTTGTGAATAGATTTCTACACAATGGTTTGTATTGGCCCCGAATATATTTGTATAATGTGATCATATTCCCTCTTAGGTGACGTTTTTCTAAACTAAAGAGGTTTAAATCTGTTAACCTTTCTTCATAACTGATATGTTCCATTCCTTTTATTAATTTTGTAGCCTCTGCCCTTTTTCTAGTGCCATAATATCCTTCTTTAGAACAGGTACCCAAAATTGCACAGCATATTCAATATGTGGTCTTACCAGTGATTTATAAAGAGGCAAAATGATATTCTCATCCCGAGAATGAATGCCTTTTTTTCATGCATGACAATACCTTACTGGCCTTGGCCACTGCTGATTGACATTGCCCATTGTTGCAGTTTAATGTATAAACTGATGGACTTTCTGAAACAGACATGGGGAGGAGAGATCAAATGAAACGTTTTACACCTGAACATGGCCACTTCCAGAAATAATGCAACACATGCTTTTTTTTTTACAATTTTAATTTATATCCCATCTTTATGCACATTTTTCAGGGCTAAGAATACTAAAGTAAAAGCAGGGTCTAGGGGAGGGAAACTAATGTTGTAAAGTTCGACATATAGTACATGTTTATGTAACAATCATATATAAACAAAAAATATTAGAAAGAGCAATCCTCCAAAAGCCTTTGCTCAATAATCATGAGTTGACTGGTACCTAAAAAGCCGTGTGGAGAAAAGAAACAAAAAGTTGTCTCAATCAAAAATATAGTTGTCTCTGGGTCATCGATGAGATTGGGTGTTAAGAAATACACAGGATCCTAAATCCTGTGAAAATAATCCAGAGTGCCAACAAAAATTGCTGTAAATTATATATGCCATGATTTAGAAAGATCAATATCGCAAGACTGACTTTAAAAGCTAGGACTCTGGAATTAGCTATAATGACACATGCACATAAGAAAAAAGTCAGTAGAGTATTGAAAATCTGCTATTTAAAGTCTAGTTTAAAGAGCAGATTAGGAGGGTAATTTAAAATGTTATTTTTTTTATCAAAATGGACACGCTAAACAACTCAAGCATCTTTGCTTGCTGAAATGCTTTATATGTGAAGAATGTGTCTTCCTTATTTTAGGTTTTTATTAAAATTTTACAAAAAGTGCAGATTTCAATAGAACTGTATATGGAGGGCTAGTGAGACCCCAAGCCTCTTAATATTAAAGGATCAGAGGGTCTCCAGTTGTAGCTGTCAGGGCTGCTGGCGTCTTACCTGGTTACTCCAGTGTTCTCCCGGATGCTGCATGCTCTCTCAGCACGTGCTTTTATTTGTGCCCATATTCGCTCCCATATTTGTGCCCGAATTTGGGTCCGAATGATGCACTCGCCTGACCTAATCCGGTGTGCTTCAATGACATCGTTAATCGGCCTGATATGGTTTTGTACTGCCCACGGGTTGTTTGGAACTCAAACATGATGTTTTCCAATAGGAAACAAGATCTGCCTATTTATACTTACCTGTCCCACTCATTGTTGCCCTGTTGTGGCTTTAGTTAACCCAATAGCTCATTCTTGCACATTCAGTTTCTCTGTTAAACTCTTGGCTCTGTTATAAAACTTTGACTTGTATCCCGTCTATCCGGCTTTCTCCTATCCTTGACCTTGGCTATTACTCGACTCTGTCCACCGTTAGCACGGCCACTCTAAGAACTTAGTCTCTTCTTCGTTGTGTTCTGGGTCTGTGTGATTTGGTTTTTCATCCCATCCTGACAGCAACATCCCATATCTTTTGTGCCAAAGCCTCTGGCTCTACTATTCAGACTCCTTCCCTTTATACAGTCCATTCAATGGGATAGACTTCTATTTAGGTTTATATGCATTTTTGTATGTTAATTTAATCAGCAGTAAATGTCAGATGAAGGGTGATTACATATCACATATTAGATACTATATATATACACACACACACAAACATAAATTCAGGATGCCCACTAACCGTTAATACTGAGGAGGTAGACCCTGGATTAAGCAAGGTTTACAAATTGTCTATTCATTACTACAAAAATATAAAGCATTTCTAGTATAACTCTAGAATACATGTAGTTTTGCTATTGCTATTCTAGTACAGCTATAGCACACTTTGAAGATATAGAAAACCACAACAACAAACAAAAGAACTTCCAGAAACAAAAGCCAGTGTCTGAAGATTAATTAAATGAGAAATAAATACTATAGGTGATGAACACAGTAAAGCATCCCTACTGCAAAATATGATATAGTTAACTATTCAGGCTGCTGCAATTATCAATGTATTTATAAAGCAACAACACACTGCGCACTGTGGATTTAGCAAACCGACTGAGGCAGGGATTTACCATGGTAACTTCTTAAAGATCGTCACTAAGAAAACAACGAGTCCATTACTCAAACACTGCAGTTTTTTACATTGAACATCCATTTCCATACTGTAGAGTGATTCAAGTTTAAATTCATTAACAAATCACAATTTCTCAAATAAAGATTTTTGCTTTCTCTCTAACCATCTCCTTAGGCTCTCTAGAATACCTAAATATTTGTAGATCAAATGGTTACTATGAGATCATGCTGGTTACTATTAATAATTGGACCTGTCGGAAGACTGTACAAATCTGATAATCTGACAATCTATATGTTGGGTACCTGTTCCTCTGTACATTTATATTTTATATATTGTTTAGGCTGTATTACTGTATCTTGACTAGAATGCTCATAAAGGCTTGTCTTTTTGGGTGTTCTTTTTCTCTTGAAAGAGTACTGTTGTCTTTTTTTGGGATGAAATGTAACACAGTCTGCTGACAGGTTGGCAGAGAGCGTAAATTATATGGGCCTGTCAGCCAAAAATCATCTTTGTAAAGACGAACTTGAAATATGTCTTGGAAAAGCAGTATCTGCCATGAAGCAGTTGTAGGCAGACGGAACATTGTCTACTTGGAAGGAGGACTAGACACAGATGTCAAAAACCTGCCAGTCCAGTGGGTAGACGGCAAGTCCACACTCTTAACAACCATTGTGCGAGGTCCTGGTGGCAGAATAGAAAGGACCAAAAACCTAGAGCAAGTCTAGATCCCACGTCAGTACCAGTCACATCTTTATTCCAGTTTCATAATAACAAGTGTGACTATGGATGTAAACAACATACAGTACTTATCAAATAAACTAAATAATGTCAGGTTTGTCTAATATTATTTAACAACAAGCACATGCAATAGAACAATTTACTGCATTGCACACATCCAAAACAAAATGAAGTACAGAGGCAATAGGAGCACAACGATATGCCACATGCAGCACAATACGAGTGATGTCCGTCTCAAGACAATCCCCATTCCAGTAACTATCCACAATCTTCACACTGAACTTCGAAGGGTCTTGGGATCACTTGGATTGCCACGTTCAAGCTGTGCATCTAGCTAAGATGT